CTTTGGTGGGGCAGGGCAGGGCTGGGCTAGCACCTACATGCACCCTGACACCCTTGCTTGCGCCCCTACACACCCACCGTGTGTGTGCACACACAGCCCTGGCACTCACAAAGATGTGGAGGAACTTGAGGATGCGCTTGTGCGTCAGGATGTGCAGGACGTTGCCCGAGATGGGCTCGATGACGGGCAGGCGGTGGATCTTGTGTTTGATCAGGGAGTAGACAGCGTCGAAGAGGCTGCGGGTGATGGGGACATCGTGGGGAGGAGGATAGGGCTGCATCCTGGGCACACTCCCCGCAGGGTGTGCTCTCCCCAGTGGGCAGGTGCTCACCTATTGCTTGGGGAGATGTAGACCAGCGGCTTGAAGGAGCCCTGCAGGTACACCTCTGCCGAGGGAGAGAAGTGGGAGAGGGGGTCCCCCAGGCCCCTCATGCAGCCCCGGAGCCCACCTCCATGCCCTGCGCGACATCCCCAGCCCAGCCACCCCCATTGCCCCCTGCTTTTTACCTCGCCAGCTCTCAATCTTGTGCTCCTCCACCTCGTAGATCTGAACCTGAGGGCAGGGAGATGCCCTGGTCACAGTGGCCCCACGGGGGCCCCGCCACACTCACCAGGGGCGAGCGGTAGTAGCGGTGGAGGATGTTGATGAAGTCGGTGATGGTGAGCATCCCTGTGGAGACACGTGGGGCTGGCAGCGCTGCCGCAGCCCTTGCTGCCAGGCAGGGGGAGGGGCCGGGCGGTGCTGCCAGCACTCACCCACAAAGCTCTGAGTCTTGCTGTCCCAGAGCGGGGCGGCACGCACCCCGTTGGCCACCAGCGCCACGAAGGCTTTCTTGATCTGCTGGCAGAGTGGGGAGGGAGTCAGGGGGACCCCGAGCCCACTCCCCCCTGCCCGTCCCTGCCAATCCCCTGCTTTGTCACCTCCAGGGAGATGTCGAAGACGACAAGCTTGCAGCTGGTGGGGACAGCGTCGTAGCAGCAGTGGCTCCTCATGAAGTGCATGTAGACCTCGGCGTCAGGGCTCTGAAACTCACTTTCTGGGCCCAGCCCCAGCACCTCGTTGCCCAGTGTGAAAGTGACGGGTCTTGGGCTCCTCCACCTGTCCTCTTCCTCCTCCTCCTCCCCCTCCTCCCTGGGGCACAGGGCCCCCGGGAACCCTGCGGGCAAACCCACCCCAGCCCTGGCCGGTGAGCTGAGCTGCCAGGTCTCAGTGCCCTCCTGCCTGGGGGGAGCGGGGAGATGCTGTGGGAGGGGGTGCTCCCCACAGACCCCCCCATTCCCCACTCCACAGGGGCCGCACACAGCACTGCGGCTTTCCAGCCTGGGGGTACCAGGAGCTGCTGGGAAGGAGCTGAGGAGTGGGGCAACGAAGGGTATGGGCAGGGTGGGCAGAGGACCGATGCGCTCATTGCATGAGTGAGCCAGCACCCCCTCCTACACACCTAGGTGCTGCCTGCTACCCACCTTCCTCCTCGGGGCGGGCAGCGGCATCCAGCAGCGCCACCTGAGGGGGGACACAGTGAGGGGGGGGGGGCAAGCC